AATGCCTGGGCTTGGGGGTGAAGTGCTGGTGGTGATCTCACAGAGCAGAGGCTGGGAGGGGGCCCTCTTCCCCAGAGCTGCAGAGGCTGCCAGATCAAGGGAGGATGCAGCAGGGGTGGGGGTTGCCAGGGAGGAGGAAAGAGGTTAGCGGGTCAAGTGAGAAGGGCAGGAAAGGCCAAAACGCAGCCAAAAACAGAAGAGGCCCCGGGTTGGGTAGTCGGCAGGCAGACTAAAGCTGGGAGATGGAAAAGCAAGGGAGATGCATGCAGGAAAGAAGGAGCTGAGTACGCAGGGAGGGAAGTGACCCTGAACCACAACTGAGAAAGGGGCTCCCGTGGCTGTCCCGGATTGGCTCTCTCTGGTGGATAAAATGCCGTGGGTCTGAGCTGGATTCGCTTGAGGATGGGGAGGACGCACTGCATGGCACACGGAGTCTTAATTAAATATATATTGATTAAGGCCACACCTATTTGCACAATGGTAGCCTGTGTAAATTTTGAGCAGTCTGGCTTCATTTTCTCTGGCGGTCATATTGTTAGCTGGCTATGGCCCTCTCTTGACCATGCTGTCACTGTGTGGAGAGCATCACCCTTCAGTTATGCACTAACTTTTCACTACTGTTGGCATATACTGACTGTCATGTTCCCTCATTTCCAATACCAAAAGTCCAGTGTTACTTTTCGGTTTGTTCCTTGGTTTTATGGAATTTTTATTGGTCCACACTATTTAGATGAAGTCAACCCAAGTATTTACACATTCGCCCATAGACAACAATCACCAAAGATAGTTCTCCGTAAAGTAGAAACCTAAATCTGGTTCAGGACAAAATGCCTAGTGGGCTGCCTCGCACAGAGCAGTGTTGAAGGAATGGTTGTTGCATAACTGAGTAAAACCACGATCCCACGGATCAAGACATTCTGTTTGATAGACAGCAACTGTATTTTCTTTCAGATTTGCTCTGTGGGGGGCATTCTTGAAAACATCCTAATGTGGTACAATAGTTGAAGACGGCAGTGTACAAGGTAGAATAAAGTTTACAAGGGCTATTTCCCACTGGGTTAATGATGTGATAAAGTTCAGATAACTTCTTCAATAAACAAATGACGCAGAAAGACATTTTTATGGATTTTGTAGGGGGAGGGGTTCAGAGATATGAGATGAGGCTTTTGGCCACACTCTGTAAAAACTACGTCACTCCATACCAAAGGCTGAAATCCTCCCGGAAAGGTTGCCTTTTTACATACTGCTCTGCGTGTATATATCTTTGACAAAATTGACAATAGGAGTTTCATCAACTCTTACTCTTTTCTTCCAGAAAAGCTTTCACCAGCAAGGCATGATTGCATGAAAAAATATTGCCTAGATGAGGTACCAACAAAATAATGACAAGCATCTGAGAAAATACAGATGTGGAAAACGATGTGTACTTTTGTCCTCAAAGCTATTCCCATTTTGATTTAGTAGCTGAACATAATTTTATGATTATGAAATGCCCTAATGATTATTGCATTCATCTGCTGCTTTATAGTCCTTCAAAAACATCTAGGTGTGCATTTATTCATTGCACACTTATTCCTTGCCTGCCATATACCAAGATTGCACAAAATGCTATAATCAACTGTTTTTGTTTATCTAACCAACTGTTTAACAGTGGAGATGACAGCCAAGAACCAAAAGTAGGTACTATAATTCTCAATGTAGACCCATGCAATTCAAATTCTCCAAACGAATAACTTGTTTGAATGGAAAAGTGCTAGGTGGGGATTAGTTTCCCTTGGGAGGCATGTTTAAAGCAGCACCAAGCTATTATTCTTTTTGGCATCTAACTGAGCAAGAGCGGAAGCCAGGCTCCTTGAAAAATCTACACCGAAAGAAAAGTTTCCTTTTAACATTCCCCGCTTTCCTTTCTCTACCCCTCTCCTGTTTTTGGCGCTCCCTCTTCCCCATTATTTATGGCCTTCATTTATTCATTCCACTCACTCACTCACCAACCAATTATTTTGAAACAAGAGCAAGGCACTTTGCCAGTGGAGAAACACAGATATGAACGAGAGGGACCCTGTTGAAGGCAGCTACTGGTTCTGCTGTGAAGATAAGTCGTGTCCAGGCGTTAGCACAGTACAAAGAGGCGCATGATAAATGCCATCCAGTGGACGGGACGGTGAGGTGTCAGAGGACGTAAGGCACCTGAGTTCTACGCCAGTTGAGACCTGATGGCTCTTGAACTACCCCTTCCTCTCAACCAGAGCTGGGCAGCCTTCACTGCACACGGGAATCACCTGCAGAGTTTTTCGAAGTCAGTCCTGATACTCAGGCTAAATGCAAGTCTCTGGAGATGGGACCCGGATGCCAGTAACTTTTAGATTAGCTATTCCAGTGTGCAGGCTAGGTTGAGAAGCATTGTTCCAAATATCCCTTTTTCTTCTAAATTTCATGTTACCAAAATTTTAATATCACTTCTCCACGTTACTGTGGAAAGGAGCGGAAAAGGAAAATAACATCAGGGAAAAGATTCACTTTTCTCTTTCCTTAACAAACAAAAACGAAAAGCCAAATAAACAGACAAATAAAAACAAAGCAACAACAGAAAAACTGTTCTCTTTTGGAAGTTCTTGAGGTAGGGAATTCAAAATTCCTAAGGGAAAGGAGAGATCTTGGCAATCAGTGGTGGCAGCTGCAGTGGTTTAGCTGGAGAGACTCAGGGAAGAGCTGTGATCCTCTGAGGAAGGGGAGACCAGGCAGGTTAAACCTCCTGGTTAGATGCCGGGGTACCGGACAAAGGAAATGGAATAGGGGGAGGAGGAGGTCTGGTTTGTTTTGACAACAAACCTTTAGTATTTATTCCAATAAATTTCACAATATTAAATCAGTGGCCAAATTATTAAGCCTTTTAAGGACTTGACAAAACAATACACAAGTCATAAATCAGGACAAAGATCTGACCCTTAATGTGATGGATGGGGATGGCAGTTGGGGAATTATAACTACAAGCCCCCAAATTTGGCCACTGTTACAAGTTGTGAAATGTGCTGGCATAGATACAAAAAGTCTGTTGTCAGCAAATAAAATGAAGTAAAATCATGTAGAAGAGATTTAGTTGAAGTTTCCTGTTCCCCCCCAGTGCCCGAAAGCATCTTCTCTGTGTTCCTCCTTCTGATCACTGAGAGCGAGGGGATGAGGAAGCCCATGGATGAGACAGACCCAGATTCCAGATTTTGCTACCTGTGGGAACTCGAGTTACAGCCAGTTCTCTGGGCTTCAGATTCCTTATCAGTGAATGGGGGGATAACATCTGTTTCAGAAAGTTGTGAAAATTAAATAAAGAACAAACAATACAGTTAAGGCTCTTAAGAATTTCAAGACTTTTCCTCATTTTTTCCTTTATGTATTGTTCCTGCTGTAATCTCGAAGGCAGTTTAAATTCTGGCAGACATAGGGAGATAAAAATTTTGTACAACACAAATTTGCCAATGGGGAAAGTAAGTTCTTGGGGTGGGGTGGGGTGGGGGCTGGGTGGTCCGAGCCTAAACATGATGGGGTCTTTTGCCATGAATAAATTTGTTCAAATCATTGGGGGCAAGTGACTGGCCATTTTCGATCCTCTGTTTATCTAGACACAGGTCTTCCTCTGGATTAGGGGTGGCAGGCTCAGAGGCTAGCAGGGCCCTGCAGGCCTGAGGTGGGGGTGAGGGCGGGATCTGTGGAACACAGAGAATATTCTCTCTCTCTTCCAGGGGCAGCCTCTACTTACATCCAGCAGGCAGTTGGCACGAGGGATTTAGGGTCAATTGTTGCCAGATCTGATTTTTCAACAAAAGTGAGATCAATATTTGTCATAAAATCTTCCAGTTTTTAAGCGTTGTCGACTAATTCTATCTTCTTTCAGCATCAGGTGGGCCAAACAAAACACATCTGAATGTAGCCTCTGTGTCACAAGTTTGCAACCTTTGGATTTTGAAGGTCCTTTTCACCTCCAATGCCCTCTGCTCTATGAGCCTGAGAATAATTGTATCCATCTTGCATGAGAGGCCCACCTTGAGGACTAGAAATACAGTCATACCCTCAGCTTCCAAATAAGTGTTTCCTGTTGTTAATGTTTCATTATCCATAATTGATGTTACCCCCAGGCAACTCTTATGCAAACAGCCTCTTATTCCAAAGTTCAAATCAATTATATTTCCTGTTACTTGCTAAAGTGCACAGACTTTATTTTCTGCATGTTAGTTTTATCTTTTTTAAGGCAATTGGTGGCTGGTTTCAATTCCCCAGGGCCCAACTTCACTTTGCACCAACTCTTGGGAGGTAAATCTTTCATGAGCTTTAGCATTTGTAAAGCTGAGTATGTTATAAACGTCTTGGAGAAACACAATCTTCCATCCCATCTCTTATCAACTGAGTTGTGTAACCCCAAATTCATATGATGAAGCCCTAACCCTCAATGTGACTATATTTGGGGAAGGGGCCTTTAAGGAGGTAATTAAGGTTAAATGAAGTCATGAGGGTGGGGCCCTGATCCAATAGGACTGCTGTCCTTATAAGAAGAGGAAGGGATACCAGGAGCGTGGGTATGCAGAGGAGAGGCCCTGTGAGGGCACAGTGAGAAAGCGGCCATCTGCAAGCCAGGAAGAGCTCTCACCAGAAACCACACCTGCCGGCACCTTGATCTTGGACTTCTGGCCTTCAAAACTGTGGGGAAATGAATTTCAGTTGTGTAAGCCCCCCAGGCTGCAGGATTCTGTTGTGGCAGCCCAAGCAGACTGATGCATCACCTAAAACTAGCCTGTCATCCTGTCATTTGTGTCTGATGCCTTTCAGCTTTTAGGCTCCTTAAAAATTCCAGTCATCCTCAGAGAAATCCCACTTTTAACTCATCTTCCCATCTGACTTCCTGCTCAAGATGTTAGAGAAATTTCTGTATCTCCAATCAAAGGAATCCCCCTTCTGGGAAGTAAATCCAACTGTGTAGATAATGACAAAATACAAACTATTTGGTGACTCACCCATAAAATGTGAGATAAAGGAAACCAATTCTTTTCCCAAGTTTTAGAATTTCTCCTCGCTTGTCAGCTGCTCCCGTGAGTCGCACTATGCCGACTTTCTTGAGGCTCGAGAGCCAGTTGTATGCATGCTCATCATTTCTTAAAACGTCTTCAAAATCCAGCGTCGGGAGCTGGAGCTCCGAGCCCCAGTGCTGACATTCTGGGAATTAAGGAAAAGAAGAAACCAGATGGAATGACATCGTTTTTACGTACAATGAGAACCTCAGAGATGGGACGAACTCATTGAAGCTGACCTTTGATTTATCACAGAATTTACTAAATTTCAGTCATATTGGAAATGCCCAAGTTACCAACATTTCTTCCCTGGAGCCAAAACAGTCTACTTCCTGCCTACACCTGAGCCTGACCTGCGACAGGTACTCACTGCATGATGTTTGTCGAGAGAATGTTGTTCAGCTTAGGGATGGCTCTTGACCTGTGTATCCTTAGGGCTTCTCTCCCTTGATGCTGCTTAGAAATAACACCGAAACGCTGTGTATTTTAACAGCCAAGTTATATTGCTCAACTCCAAACAGATGGTAAAATCAGAATGGTGGACTAGATCAGCATATGCCTATTCCTGGGGATGGGGGGGTGTTTGTGGTGGTGGGTACAGCTCCTTCTTTCTCTTATTTCACCTCATAAGAAGCTTTCTCTGGGGTCAGATTGTTCTTTGGAATCAGCAAAAGCCGTCTATGGGGAAGAAAAGATGAAAGATGTGGTCCTGGGATGCATGGACCCTTTGGTGACAATGCCATGGGAGATAACGTCAGTGCCTTCCTCAGTTCTTGGATGCCTCATGACTAAATGCTCATAAAAATGTTTCCTTGAGAAAACAGAAAGGAAAACAAATGTAAAAAATAGTTTGCTGCTAAGCCAGGCTCTCCTAAAGGAGGTGGAACACAGAGGAAATGTAATTTTGCCAAGGAAAATAACTCTGATATTAATAACTGCATTCAGGAAAGACCCAACTCTAGCTAACCCATTTCATTCCTTCATTTTTTGGGACAGAATTTGCCCTAGAAAGGCAACCCTTCCTAACAACTGACAGAGTGAGATCTTACGCTCCCCATACCATCCTGAGCGACGCCCCACTTTTCAAACCGGGGAATGTAACTCATGTTATGGAAAACAACCCCAAAGCTGCCATTTAAGAATGAGGAATGGGTCGGGTTCCCCTGTAGTAGCTGTAGACTGGAAATCATTCCCTCTTGGGTGTCAACATGGCTGTTTCTGTAGAAGCAGGGATTCCTTAGGAGTCAGACAGGGGCTGTGGTGGTAAGAAGACCCGTGCAGGTGCTGGAACCCTCTTCCTGCTCTCTCACCAGCTGGTTGCATAAGGACACTCGCAGAGGTGAGTGGGGCTGCGTGGGAAGAGCTAATCAGACTACAAATGCACATATCGCCAAAGTTTCTGGGTGATTAAGCATAACAGCTTGCACAACGAGGCAAAATTTCCAAGGCCTAAATTGCAAACTGTAAATTAGGCCTCTGTAGTGGCTGCATTAATTCTTTCGGGCTAGGTGAATGTTCTTTAGTAGTGAATACATTCCACAAGCCCAAGTGATTTATTGTACTTTCTCAGGAAGTCAAGCTTATATTCAGCCACTGGATCCTAATTTCTCATTTTAACTCTTCTCTCTCTGTGGGACTAATCAGAACTGAAAAAATCTATAGCCTCTCCTGCTCCTTTTTTTTTTGGTGTTGCTTAGTAAGTGCTTGCTACGTTTGAGAGGACCTTAGAATTTAATGTTAAACAAGCCACCTTGGCAAAGGGAAGCAGTTCAGCACACCTTATGCCAGAGCAAATGGCTAAACAGTTAGACAATGAAGTGTGAAGGTTTTAGGTTAAAATTATAATTTTTGGGGGGGGCGGGAATGGTGTAAAATACTTGTTCTTGGTATTCCTTGATTATATCAGCTGTCCAAAAATTATTTGCTGGTTTATTTTTTCAATAAGCCTAATATTTTACCATGTCGCAAGTCACTGTGATAGGCAGTAGATTTTAAGGAGCTCGCAGTCTATGGCAGAATTGGCCTTGGGTGCTGACAGCTAAAACACAGACTGATGGACGCCAGAGTTGAAGTCCATTCAGGATACTATGAGGTATCAGATCTTCTATTCTTTTTCTAATGCCCCTCTGAGACATGAGCTACTCTTTCTCTTGCATGGTGGTTATCCAGGTCTGCCCCTCATGCCTTGACTATTTCTTGCCAAATCAAGCTGGATTGGTATCATGTGAAAGAGCCTCTTTTCTGCGAGGCAAGCCACCCGGCTGTGTTTTCAATATTGCATGATATGGTTGTTCGCCTTGCCACTCCCGTTTGTCACTCCCGTTTGCTCTTTGCATTTGAAGTCTCCAGATTGTAGTATTTGATACTGACCAAAAAGGTCTGCATAAAGAAGGCGGTAAAGGTCACACAGATTGTTTATTGGCTGCCTAACTAGAAAAATCATTTGGCTTCTAGTTAGGAGAAAAATTTTCTGGGCAAAATATCAGCGTTAAGATCATAACTAACAAATCACCATCTCCTCTTTTCAAAGCTTACACCTCAGTAGACTACATCCAGAAACAAAAATCACTGAAAACAATTTTAAGCTTATTGACCCCCAAGTGAAAATTACAGGCCCAAAGAGAATCAGAGGTGGATGTGATATTAGAGACTCACCTGGCATTTTCACATCGGCTTCAGGATTTCCCATCTCCTTCAGTTCTTATTATTGAATAAAAAACTTGTCTAAACCACAGCTGGGGATTCTTCCAGGTCTTAGGCACTGTGGTGATCTGGCCAAGGCCATGTTTTTTTTTTTTAAGGATTGGCACCTGGGCTAACAACTGATGCCAATCTTTTTTTTTTTTTTTCTGCTTTATCTCCCCAACC